TTACTTGGAGGCTTTTTGTGTAAGTAGGTACTAATAGACCTATAGGAGGTGGGATAAAGAGTCCTTTCATGTTCACTGTCCATCTGTCAAGATTCAAATATAAATGTATACATTTTAATTCACTTACTGGCATGGGCTCTGGCCTACCTAAAATTTCTATATGTTACATTTGCCATTTCCACACCAGTGTGTTTGGGAATAATCCTCCCAAATATTTTATACATGACAGAAGCCTATAATTAATTGATGTAAAGTCCTATGGTGCGGTTAAACATCGTATCTCATCTTTGATAGAGTCCTTTTATATCCTTTACTTTCAAAAACTTCTCAGATCTTTTAGATTCTGAGCTTCTGTACACATGAACGATATAAGGAGAAATATACTAGCTCATACTTTCCAAACCAACTTATTTCTGTTGTTTTTTAAAGGAGATTTTCCACCAAAGGGGAAAATTAGAAAGTTCAAAGAATCAATTCAGAGAGGAGAGAAGGTGGGAAAGTGTTTAGAACTGGAAATTCCCCCACTTACTCATGGTTACCTTGATTGGCCCTTCATGATAACCGATTGAAAGCATGAACACATCTGTGATTTAAAACTAATTTTTTACCAATTGGCAAAATTTGTATTGATTGGATAGAAGATATAAACATTATAAATTGAAGTTTAGGTTCCCAAGAAGACTAAAAGCCATTCAGAAACCTAAATCACTCATTGAAACAGAAAGGAAATTGAAAGAAAAAAAAAAAAACACAGATGAACAGGTCGTCTTCGGAAACTGACTTTGGTCGGAAGTTTGCGGTCCCTGTGAACAGGTGCCACCGATAGCTTCTGCTGAGCTGCTACCTGATAAGGACTGAATATCCTGTCTTCTCTGCATCACTTTGCATCTAGCTCACATTACTTCATTTCCTTTCTGGGACCTTCCCCCGGATTCTTCATATAAGGTCAAACATAAAGGAGAGCTGCACTGAGATCTGGTTGTCCTGAGTGGCTTCCTCCAACTTTGTCCAGGCATTAATTTTTCTAAGCCTCAATTTCCTAAACAGAACTATAAAATGTCAATGATAATCTCTGCCTGGTGGATATATCTTTAAGTTTTTGATATATTATTTATGAAATAAGACATAAAGTATCTGAAAGTGATACTTTATATTATTGTCATGTGTTTTATAAGGAGATTGAAAAGAGTTTATTTGCACTAGTTTTGTTTCTTCGGTTTTCATTATGTGTTTCTTTGCTTTGGAGAATTGAATCCTCCAGGGCTAACCACACAGGAAGTTAGCTTCCACATTTAGACAAATAAGGGACAACTGAAAAACCTTCTGACCCCCAAATTTCTCCCACCCTGCATCCTGACCCTCTACACCTTCTTTTGTCCTATTTGCTGTAAATTTCACATGTACAGATACCTTCCCTTCATTTAACAAATAATGATGGATGATCTGAGCATATAAATGATTGTACACAGGAAGACACTATTGCAAGCTAAATGACGTGCTTTAACTAATTACGTCAGGGCAGCAGGTGTCAACAAGGGCTGTGCTGGGCAACCCCTACTTAGTGTTCCCTTCTTTACAGGAATTAAAGTTGATTGTTTTCTCAAATATAAGGGAGAGTCCTTACACTTAAAAAATTACTGTAGGAGGGAAGGGAGCGTTGATGAACAACTTAATTTTTTTACAATAAAGTTTAGACTATTGTAGAGGACTTAAATAGCATGAGAGCCTGTGCATACCTTGAAGGCCTACTGATAACATGTGCTTAGTATCTTGGCTGGATTTTACCTTTGCAATGATTGCCTACTCCCACCTGCACACCTGGGAAATGGTTATCTATCTGTCAAGTGTACACTATTTTCATTATGGTAACCTGCCTAACTATTCTAGGATATCCAAACTTCAAAGATAGTTGGTGTCCAATTAACAAAATTACATTTTCACACTCCTATGAGAATTGCTAAAGGAGAAAATGTACATTAGTAAATGGTGTAACTGGACCATGATTTTTATGTTAGTCTAATCAGCTGTTGAAAAGTCCTGCTTTGCATGTGGAAAACACATACGGTAAGGATTATCATGTGTGTCAGGATGTTTTCTTTCTCTATTCCCCAGACTTGGAAGAGATCAAATCATGTTGCAGATTTATAGGACTAATATTTTCGCATGCATCATCACAACCACAACATGCTATGGGTAGTTAGTGTCAGATATACATTTAAAATATCTGGAGAGTATTAGGTTAAGCAAAATAAACCAGTAAGAGAAAGACAAGTACTGCATAATTTCACTTATATGTGGAATCTAATAAACACAATAAAGTGGCAAGCAAAATAAATCCAGAGACATTAAAGCATACAATAGACTGGCATATTTTAGAGGAAAGGGGGGGAGGATCAGGAATAGATTAACCAAAGAACTCATATGCATATATTGATAGCTATGGACAGATAATAGTGCAGGGAAATCTTGTGGAGGGGGTGGGGGCAGGCTGCAGGGGTTCAATCAGGGCCAAAAAGGGGACATCTGCAATACTTTCAACAATAAAGATATAAATAAATAAATAAATAAATAAATAAATAAATAAATAATCTTAAGTTGTTTTACCCCAAAGAAATTAGCAAATGCACTAGCTATTCCCTTAAGTACCAAATTTAACACCTCCAACAATCATCAGCAGTATTCATATGTGTGCTTACTATCTAGTCGCAGTCTAAAATTATATATTTCATAACCCTACAGTCCCACAAGTCTCCCAGGATAACACTCAACATTTTGTAAGCCATATGTTTTTATACATATTCTTTTTTAAATTCACATTTATTGATTTATTTATTCACTTTTTCAATGAGTATATACTGAGCATACACACTAATTTCCAGTTACTATTTCAGGTATTAAAGGCAGAAGGGACAAGATAGAAAAAATTCTTGCCACAAGCAGCTTACAGACTAGTAAGGAAAGTAGATTATAAATAATACTAGAGGCCTGGTGCATGAAATTAGTGCTTGGGCCGGTCCCTCAGCCTGTCCTGCATCCTCTCGCATTCTAGGACCTTTCAGGGGATGTCTGATTGCCCGTTTAGCAGGCTGAGGGATCAGGCCTAAATTGGCATTTGAACATCCCTCTAGCAATCTGGGATTGCTGGCTCCTAACCACTCACCTGCCTTCCTGATCACCCGTAATCACTCACCTGCCTTCCTGATCACCCGTAATCACTCACCTGCCTGCCTGATCACCCCTAACCACTCACCTGCCTGCCTGATTGTCCCTAAGCACTCCCTGGGGGGTGGGGCCAGCAGGGATGAGAGGCCGTGGTGTTCCACCATTTCGGTCACTGGCCTTTTATTATATAGGATGTAGGATAATATAATATCAGATATTGTCAAATGATATAGAGACAGATGAAGCTTTATAGAAGCTTAGAGTGTGGCATTTTTATTTTACTACATATGAAAGGCAAGTGAAGAGGAAAGTTTAATAGTGAGGGAACTGAATTAATGGGAGAGCAAGCCATGCAAGTAGGTGGAGGAAGATCCATTTAGAGAAAAGGCAAAGACCTAATAGTGGAAGTATAGTGGAACAGCAAAGAGGTTACTATTATATGAGAGAAGGCAGTGGCTAATAGGAAAAATAGCTGAGAGGTAGCCAAGGACCAGATCATGGACCTACTTAAATATAAGGAAGTTGAATTTTATGGTAAGTCTTACAAGAAGCCATTAAGGGTGGATAGAGGAGAAGAGTTGAACAACTCACCAAAATTATATCATTTGATTACAAAACAAATCCTTGAGCTGCTATTTGGAAAACATACCAGGAAACTGACTGACAAATAGAATGAAAGCAAAGAGACTTTAGGACCAACATGTACCTCTTCATGTCTTAGGTAAACAAATAAATATGATGGCCTAACTAACCTACAGTAGATGATAATTTCCAACCTAAGCAAAACATTTTCCCAAAGACCTTATTGTACAAACAGAATGTCTCTACTCTAAAGAAGTGATATTAATGATACAATTTTTGGCATCATTGTTAACCAGAATGGTATTTTGATCCCCTCCTTAAGTCACCATACATGGACATTTTGTGTTTATTTATGTTGACCTTAATAAATTATCTGTATTATAATTATACTGTGGCAATATAATATATGGCAATATATATTAAGACATACTTAAAATGTCTTAAACCTCAGAGATATATGAAAAAATAATCTACTACATAGGGAAAAATAAGAGGATAAAATGCTACTGAGGGAAAATCAGAGTGGCTTAAATAACAGTAAAATTTGACCAAAAAAATTAACAGGAGATAAATGAAACAGATAATTCAAGATAAACAATTTTAGAACATAGAAAGGAAGTTCCAGACCACAGGGTTTCTATTTCCTGAATTAAAGCACCTACTTACTAAATGATAACTTAAAAAAAAAAAAAAAAAAAAAAAAAAAAAGCTAGTCCCCAGGAAAGAAGTGAATGACAGACTTCTGAAAGCCAACTTATAGTTTCCTAAGAAACTCTTCCACAGTGAAGAGAGATGCAGGACAATAGAGATTTAAAAATTCTTAAACAATAAATCCTCTAGCCCTAAACAGTGTCAGGTTCATAGTGGATGTTCAATAAATATTAGTTAAATAAGTGAATGAGCCAAAACCGGTTTGGCTCATGGATAGAGCGTCAGCCTATGGACTGAAGGGTCCCAGGTTCGATTCTGGTCAGGGGCATGTGCCTTGGTTGCGGGCACATCCCCAGTAGGGGTTGTGCAGGAAGCAACTGATGTTTCCCTCTCATCGATGTTTCTACAATAGCTCTCTATCCCTCTCTCTTCCTCTGTGAAAAATCAATAAAATATATTTTTTTAAATAAGTGAATGAATGGAATTCCAGAGAAATATTACTCTGAAAATGATTTCCATCTCAAAAATATGAATCTCTAACTTTGATTTTTTTTATTTAGATACACCGCTTCCTAAACTACGTTTGTTTTCTATAAATTTAAGGAAGGATGTCACAGACTCTGGGAAATCCCACGTGTCTTTTCATGCTACACCTACAGTTGTGAGAAAGCACATTTCAGACAGTAGGGAAAACCCACCGCTCACCACAACAACACATTGTAAATTGTCTGGGCCACTGGGGCATAAATTAAAGGGAACTGGAGTGGTGGAGCGATTAGAAGGGAAGAGGAAGGGGGCGGAGACAGCATCTGTGACTATAAATGATGAGCTCTCTCTGAGACTGAGCAAGAGCTGCAGCAAAGACACTCACTGTGGATTGGCTTGGCCTGAGAGTAAGCAGAGGATATTGGCTAGCGTAAAGATGGGGTCTGAAGATTGCTCCCTAACAGACAACAGCTCCGTGGAGAGAGGACGACAAAGTAAGTCAGATCTTGTTTTCATATACCGCTTATCCCTGTCTATATCGATGATATACACAGGGAGGGCCAAAGGTAGGTTTACAGTTGTAAGGACATGAAACACAAAGTTTATTCTGATATTATTATTGGATTAATTATGGTGTTATTTTTCCATACAAACAACTGTAAACCTACTTTCGTCCCCCCTTCTCCACTCCTCACCCCGTGTTACAGGATTTAGGGACTTACGGGAAGAAAATGAGCCTTTGACGTTTGAAGAACTTGATTACATTCTATGTCGGTCAGGATAAAAGAGAAAATGGGAAGAAGTCAATATTTTTTTTTTAATATATGAAAAGATAAGATTCCTGAGAAGAGAGGAAACACAAAGTTGCATTTGAGAAGATTTTCAATGATGTGTTTCTTTGTTTCAATGTATATGATCTCATTTTCTTAGATGAAATGATAAAACTCCCTGCTCTGGTCCAGTACACTCTCTATAATTTTTTTCCATATCCATCTGCACATGTTTCAGGAAGCATTGGCTTTCTTTACAAAAATTCTGTGTAGCTCATAAGCCATTACGCTCTTGACTGCCTTCACTTTGTACCTTTGTGTGCTTTCTGCATGCCCCATCTTGTGTGCTCATGACAACATCTTCTAGTTGCTGAAAATAAAGGTTTCCAATCTTTGAGAGAATAGCTATATAGGCATCTTTTACATTTACAGTGTCTAACGGGAATGTATTCAGAGAATACCATGAAATAATTCTTGAAAATGCCATCTTCTGCTTCTCTAATCTTTATGGGACTCTTTTTCTACATTTCATCCTTCAGTTTCATGCATCCAGTCACTGGCTTCATTTTCCAAATGAATCAGACATTTTTCTTTTTTTTTTCCCCATCAAAATATGACTATAGTAGCTGTATACTATTTCCTCTCTTCTATTTGTCTATTCTGTCCAGAGACCTATTCTATTTATTATACCAGAATTTTCTCATTGTTTTTCTATAACTGATTTCTATGAGGCTTTCTTTCTTTCTTTCTTTCTTTCTTTCTTTCGTTCGTTCGTTCATTCTTTCTTTTCATTTATGTCTCTTCCTTTTTTGAATTATTGAAGTACCCCAAAACCTAATATGTATGAAATACAGTTTATTTGTAAGCAGTAATTAAGGGATGCGTTGTGGATAGCAGAGCTGAAAAACTCTAGAGGAAGGATTGTTTTTAGAGTGTGTGTCCACTAAACTGTTTCACATTAGAAAAGCTTTGATTACCTCCCCTAAACCCTTCTTTCACTTTAGAACACAAAATCAACTACAGATAACAAGTACAAACTATACAAAATTTCTGGTAACCACATAACCATAACTCTATGGACTAGTTGAACTACCAAAAAGAAAAATAATTGTAATAGTAAAACTACTCAATAAATAGAGGGCATAGCTGCAAAAAGGTCCTAATTCAGGAATTCTTAACTTTGCCTGAGATCATCCCCATTTCCTGTTGAATGTTTAATTTATGCTGCCTTCTACATACTTTATTCATATAGGGTGGGGGGGAAAAAAAAAAAAAAAAACACTGGGCAAAACCCTTAGTTGACTCAACCTGTCATGGTGGATTTATTTTCAATTTCTCCATTAATGGACAGAGACCATAATCAGAGCGGAAGGACACTCTCCCGGGGAGTGTTTTGTCACCTAGGTGATAAACCAAGCTGAGCAACAGCAGCCCTCACTAATGGATATAAAGTACCATCTGAACATACTCTGCACGGTTCACCCACCGACTAGGCCGACAGACTGAGGTGGACCTCAGAGCCCCTGAGCTGTCTGCACGAGCTGATACTGGCTGGGGAACAAGGGCTGTGTTGCCGCATTGAGGCTAAGAAGCATGATGAGAAGTGAAACTAGACAGAGAGCTCTGAACTTGCTATCTACCTACCATGGGCTCCTTCCGGTAACAGCTGGATTCTGGTGGGGAAAAGGAAGATTGGCTTTGAGAAGCTGAAAGAAATAGAAATAGATAGGAGCGAAGTAGAGGCATCTCGTGAAAAATCCAGGCTGGGAAAAACCACCCCGGAGGCAGAAGCTGATGCTGACATTCAGTGCATAGGAAATTCCTCGTTAAGAAAGCAACGTCTCAGCCCAGTTGAACTTCAGAGAAATGTTTTAAGGAAAAATACATGCATGTCAAGATATGGGCTTCTAATTGTAAAAGTCATCTATATTCAAAAACACAATATATTCTCGTATTGAGGCTGTTTTGATGGTAAATTTTAATATCATTCAGGTAGCAATTTTGTATGTCAGTTTCTCAGAACATAAAAGGGAACTATGTATTTCTTGTGAGGCCAAGGTTTTGAAAATGCCACTCTTTCTAGCAAAAACCAAATTCAAACTCTGAGCCACAGGATCCCATGCTCTCTTTTCTCCATTACTTATTTGTATTTTGAACAGATACCCTTCCTTCTAGATTTTCTTTGATGTGTGTCTGTGTGACTGAGAATCATCACTGACATCATATTTATATTCTAAATCCTTCCACAGAAATATTTTTATTGGTGAAATCAATAAAGGATAAATAGGGGGAAATAACTTCTTCCCAATGTTTGGTCTTTGATACTGTTATATTTCTTCTATTATTTTGAATTATCAATATTTTGAAAATTCAAATATTTTATGTGTTTTAAATTGTGGTGTAGTTTACATAGAATGGATGCATAGATCATAAGTGTGCAGTTTAATGGGGTATAGTTACAACTCCAATCAACATTTGAAATTGTCATCTTTCTAGAAAGTTCTCCTGTATTCCTTTCTACTCAGATTACCTTTCCTACACACATAAAAGCTTTCACTTTTCTGAATTCTGTCACCATAGCTAAGTTCAGCTATTCTTAAATGTTACATTAAAGGAAATATGCAGTATGTAACTGTAGGTAGATTTTTTTCACTCAACATTTTTTTACTTTTTCCATTTTGTTGCATGTATCAGTTGTTCTTTTTTAATATATGCCCTTTTATGGATAATAGAGTAATTTGTTTATCAATTTTCCTGTTGATGTGCATTTGGGTTATTTCTAGAATTTAGCTCTTAAGAATAAAACTGCTATGAACAGTTTTATACAAAGTATTTTTGAGACATATTTTCATTCCTTTTGAAAAAAATACATAAGAGTAGAATTGCTGGATCACAGAGTAGGTGTATGCTTAATTGTGTAAGAAACAGTTTTCTAAAGTTATTTTTTTCATTTTAATCTTCCAACAATAACTTATGAAAATTTCAATTGTTTCACATCTGTACCAATTTTACCAAAAGTTATCAGTTGTTTTTATTTTCTGTCATGCTAGTTATAGATATTAATATATCAATTCATATTTTCGTACTATCCCCCATTTATTCTCATGTACATTATTACTCTTAAACAATAAATAGTAAATACAGAGAGGTTAAGGGATTATGGTTATGATTTTTTAAAATATGTCATCTAGGGTAACCAGGTGTTTAATAAATGTTCTTATTGGGATTTAAGCAATAAAACTATGAGAGATGCAGAATTTTCATAGCTACTAAGTACATATGTTGGGAAGATGTTTTATGAACTCATCATTATGCCTATATTGTTCCTTTTGTAGCCAAAAAGAAATTGTCCAAATTCACTCAAACTTTGGGGGAAACTGGCATCAATTTTATAGACGTTAGGGAGACACGTTACTTTTTAAATGAAATACTGCAAGAAAATTTCAAATGTCCCCATCTTACTTCTGTCGTCTGCCTGAACTCACATCAACTTTCTCTCTTCAGATAATGGGGCCAGCCTTCACTTTGCAACACATCATGAAGGGTCCCTTCAAGTTCCTATCCCATGTGCTGTACTGAATGTGGTCATCATCACCATTTTGATCATAGCTCTCATAACTTTATCAGGTGGGTTTGCACTTCATGAATTCATTGAGTCTCTTTGCTGTCCCCATTGTAATCTCAGCTGAAATCAGTGGGATTCCTTGGTCCAATTAATCAGCAATTCTGAGCAATTTAGCATCATCCTATATATCATCCACGGTGGATTTCCTAAAAAAAAAAAAAAAAATACTAATACAATTCCATGTTCCTTGGGTGGTTAATGTAATGCTATTTGGAGTTTTCTAGAGCTTTTCTTTTTTATTAAATGTATTGGGGTGACATTGCTTAATAAGATCATATAGGTTTCAAGTGTACATTTCTATGATACATGATCTGTATATTGCATTGAGTGCCCACCGCCCACAGTCAGCTCATCTTCTGTCACCATCTATTTAGCCCCCTGTACTGTTTACTGCCCTCCAACCCCCTTCCCTCTGAAAACCACTGTGTCTATGAGTTCCAGTTTTATATCCTCTCTTTGTCTCCACAACTCAGGGGCCTTTCTGTAAGTATGAAAAGTGTCTATGATTTATGATTACTGTGGAAGAAAATTACATTACTATGGATTTAAATATGATAGACATGAGCTGGCTTAGATTCTAAATAAATCAACAGTTAGTTAGAAAAAAAATGTGGGCTTCACTTTCATTATTGACAGAAAAATGTAATATCTATTCTAAGCCATAGATTCATCAAGATTTGTCAGTCTTTTGTCTTTCAACTCAAAGACTGCCAAATTGTGGCTATGAATAATTATGACTGGATCTAGAAACTCCCAGAGTCAATTGTCATGAGATATTCAAAGTATACCACTATACCAAGATGCGTTTATGTCTTTTACAAACACTATATTTATAATTTTATGAAACTTTTCCAGCCATAGATCTTTTTGTGTTCTGAATTACTTCCCTGCAAATAATTCTCTCCTTCATATTCCAATATCGTGTTTTGTCTCCTGAAAGTTTAAATCCCTCCCCTTCTGCATTCAGATTCAAAACCCTTCTTGAAATTTATAAAGCACTTTACCCTTTCTAGTCCAAGGCTGTTTTTAAGATTTTTCTTGTCTTTTGTGTTTGTTTGTTTGTTTGTTTGTTTGTTTTGTTACCACGTTTGGACATTATGGCCCAAGAGCCACCTCCTTTTCTCTTACTAGTATACCCTGTCCAATGATGATTAGGAGCAATGGGAGATCTGATAAGATGAGGACCTGCCTTCTCATGCTTCTCAGAATTTGCCTTTTTGCCTTTTAGCCTTCACTTTATCACCTACCCCAAGCATGAGGTTTGCATGCTGTGGGTATTTAACTTATTTTGTTACTAAAACTATTTTCCTGTCCACAGTGGGCCAGTACAATTGTCCAGCGCCATATATGTTTTCGCAACCATCAAACAGCCATGCTTCTTCATGCTCAGATGATTGGATTGGATACCAGAGGAAATGCTACTTTATTTCCAATATAACAAGGAATTGGACCTTGGCCCAAAACTCTTGCTTCAAACACGGTGCTACCCTTGCTCTCATTGATTCTGAAAAAGACATGGTAAGATAGGATTCAAACACAATTTCGTAAAATATTGCTGTTTTCTTTTATAGAGCTAATCTGTGATTTCCTTCTGTTTCCTAATAAGTGAAGAAGACATTGTACCTGTGTCCATGTAGGAACATTTAGCCTGAGGTCAAATGAGGGTTCTATTTAGTCTTGCCAATTTGATTTGGACGCCTAGCCTCAAAGGCTAGAAATCCAAATGAGTCAATTCTATACAGAGCTAATGAATGATCAGCTATTTTACTTGAGATGCACCTTTTGAGAAGCTGATTTTGAGAATTATTACGTATATTTACCCATAATATCTGTTTAACAAGTATCTCCTTTGTCATTCTTTTTTCAAGATCTTTTTAAAAAGATATGTGGGTAGAACTGAACACTGGATTGGGCTGAAAAATGATGCTGGTCAGACATGGAAATGGTCAAATGGCAAGGAATTTAACAACCGGTAAGTTTCAAGATGTTTCTTTATCTTTCCCAGCTGTTAGCTCAGGGAAACCATTTTCCATTTCCTCTCTTCGCTTTTGTATGCTTATACTCTTTGGAATTCTTTAAAGAAAAGCTTTCAGCCAAAACCGGTTTGGCTCAATGGATAGAGCGACGGCTTGGGAACTGAAAGGTCCCAGGTTCCATTCCAGTCAAGGGCATGTACCTTGGTTGTGGGCATATCCCCAGTAGGGGGTGTGCAAGAGGCAGCTGATCGATGACTCTCTCTCATCGATGTTTCTAACTCTCTATCTCTCTCCCTTCCTCTCTGTACAAAATCAATAAAATATATTTTTTTTTAAATAAAATTAAAAAAATAAAGAAAAGCTTTCATATTATCATTTGCTTTTTTCATCTACTTGGAATTCATACAATAAATGCTTCTAGTAATTTGATCTCAGAAAAAAAAATAATGTGAATAGAAGCTCAGAAATATTCCAGGAATAATTGTGATGATAAAATCTAACATTTCCAATATCATATTAATATTTTACTGATGAAACTAGTTTCTTACTCTTTCCCTGTTCTCATCTCCACAGGGATAAAGAACAATGTTTTCATATCTATTTAGCAGCTTCTGTGGACCTGAAAGAAAACTTCCCCCAGAATTAAAGATGCTGACTTTATTTTATTATTATTTATTTTATTTTTTAAATACAGATTTTATCGATTTCAGAGAGTAAGGGAGAGTGAGAGATAAAAACATCAATGATGAGAGAAAAATCACTGATCAGATGCCTTGTGCATGCCCTTTACTAGGGATCAAGCTTGCAACTCAGGCATGTGCCCTGACCAGGAATTGAACCTTAACCTCCTGGCTCACTGAGCCATGCTGGCGGGCCCAAATGGATACACTTTACTCCTAGCTTTGTTCCTTCCTTACACTTACTCCTCCTCTCAATCCCTGTCTCCTCTCTCTCTCTAGATTAGTCTATGATCATTTGACTGACAGGCTTGCTTCATGCATTTCTACTCAGTAAGTATGTAAATAAATAAATAAGTAAACAAACAAATAAATAAATAATGCAGAGGCCACCACTACCACAAAGTTTTTATGTTCATGTAACTCAAGGGAAATGATGAACTAAAAGTAATTCTCCGTTTCTTTATTGTTCGACAGGTTCAACCTCACAGGGTCAGAGAGCTGTGCATTTCTGAACAGCACCGCGGTCAGCAGCACAGAATGCGGAAGGCATTTACGTTGGATATGCAGCAAACCCTTCAAACAATGAGGAGCCCTGTTTGCATATAGACTATCCCATCATGGGACTCAAGGCAGTTCATGTGGATGGATGCTGTTCTATGGTCAGATGTTTGCCGTAAGGACTTTGTGGAAAAAACTTGCTATGATTCTGGAAACTTCCTTCCAAACAAGATTGTGGAAGAAAGGCAGGGAAATTGCAGGACTATCTGCATTGTAGAGCACCCTTGTTGTGACCTGAAAACATCACAGGTTGATGGATATGTGTGTCCAAGATGGAGAAGAATGACTTTAAACCTTTGGTGTGCACTTTATACTTTTTCAAATTCAAAAATAATATAATAGGTAGATTTAGAGTTATTATTTATTGCCGAATGACTACCAACAATGAGTGTCCTTCACGCATTTGCACTAGTAGAAGCAATTAGATGACAGTATTAAAAACTGAATGTAAACAAAAGAAATTGTAACTGGTAACACAGATATTTAGTCTAAATGCATTTGTTGAACTCAGAAGACATTTATAGGTGGACAAATGCTTATGAAACTAAGCTTTGTACTGTTTCTCTCTTTTTGGAGAAGTTTGCTAGGCTACTTTGTCACTTTTTTACTCCCAAAAGACTGGGATAACCACATATTTATGTTGTTTGTTTTTACTTCTTCAATGTCTTTTTCAATGGTACTTAATTCTTTGCCTTTAAAACCTTACCCACCATATATTACAAAGATAAAAACAAAACCAAAGAGCATGAGAAATATTTGTAAAACAGATTAAGTGTCGGAAAGTGTGCAATATATGATGTGCAGATCCCTATTAGAAAAAAATTCTGTATTGTTCAAACCTATAATAAGACAATATCTGATTATAAATGTGTGCCTCTCCTAATCAATGTTATCACATGCAGTACTTCATGTGAGGTGTTTTTAGTGCAATAAAGTGTTTGTCTTTTGTATTCAGTGCAATTATAAGCTGCTTTTATGTACGTTATAATAAAAATGGAAACAAAATGATTTCTGAGAAGTGTTTGCTCACTTAAAATACTCTAAAAATTATGTCATACTAGAAATAAGAAAAACAGAATGCTATAACATAGTTTTTCAAAAAGTTATCTACTGTAATACCTTAGCTTTATGATGTGGTTTCTACTTTTTGAATTGTTTTTTCATGTCTGTTTCCAAAAAGGCCTTATCTATTCTCCTGTATAATAGCAGATGCTCAGTAAATATTATAATTGACTTGAAAAGAATCTATGCCATTTAACATGTTTCGTCTCTTGTTTTCTTATTCTTTATTGTTTATCACCCTCATACTAAAGAAAAACATAAGCCTGATTGGTGTGGATGAGTTGATTGAATGTTGTCCCTTACACCGAGAGGTCATGGGTTCAATCCTGGTCAGGGCACATGCCTGGATTGCAGGCTTGATTCCCCAGTAGAGGGTATGCAGGAGGCAGTTGATAATCTTTCTCTTTCATCAGATGTTCCCCTCTTTCAAAAATCAATACAAAAATTGTTTTTAAAGATAGTTATAACTAATAAACAAATTTAAAGCAGGAGATGCCTAATGTCATTTTGTAGGGACCTATTTATAACCGCATTCTCTCTCCAATAAGAAAATAATTGGTCCTAACAACCAATGCTCTAAAAGCATCTTGTTCAATTCAAAAACGCTATACATATTTTAGTCATCTACTCTTCTGAGTCATGGTAGAAAAAAAATGTCTTGTGATTTGTGTTCCATGAAATGTGTAACAGAAAGTGTTGCTGTTAAGAGCCAGATCCCAGGAGAAAGATTGCCTGAGTTCATCTCTGTCATTCACTGGTGGGATAGCTGTTACCTTAGAATGAGTTAGAAATGCAGTTAAAATAGCTGGAAACTGAATTAGTTAATACATGAAAAATGACTGAGAACATACCTGGTTGAAGAGCATTGTTGTTATCTGTGTTTTATTTTGCTTTTCCAAGATAATTTCAATTTCTTCCTCTGGAAAGGAAGAAAATTCTTTACTGGCTTATTTTACATAAATTTAGAAATTCAATAAAGTTAAAAGTATTTTAAAAATGATAAGGTGCCATTAAAATGGTATATACTATAGTCAGTCTTAAATTGACTCAAAATTTTATAATATGAATATGGCAATGCTTTTTCTAAGTTCGTTTTCAATTTTTATAAATTTGACAAGATTTTTATTCATGGAAATGTATCATAACTAAAATTAAATTGCTAAAAATATTCTGAACAAAATGTTAAAAATATATATATATATAACCAGAGAGACTGCTTGGGATAATATAAATTGATTTAGTTTAACCTTTGGAAAACAGTTTGAAGATACTTATCAATAATCTTAAAAATACTCATTCTTTCTTTCATGTGACAATTTTGGGGAGGGGAGATGAGTGGATTTTACAGGAATAGTCTTGGATAAACCATAATCACAAAAATATTTATCTAATAGCTTTTTTTACTAGCAATAAGTCAGAACCACATAATTGTCCAAAACTAAAGATTTAGTTAAGTATGTTTCTACTACATGATGAAAAATATGCCAACATTAAAAAAATAATAATGAAGAAGAATGTTTAATTATATGGGAGAATACTCAAACTGTTATTGCTAAACCAGTTAAAATCATATATATATATATATATATATATATATATATATATATATATATACACACAGTAAGATACCATGCCATTAATAAGCATTATATTAATAATCATTATGCTGAGCTAAAAGTAAATTAGGGCCTGTTGTATGATTCCATTTATATAAAATCCAAGAACAGGCAACATGAAGGGACAGTGACAGAGTCAGTGGTTGCCTCTGTAAGTGAGGTGGGAGGAAGATGTGGGAGGGGCATGAGGTGCTTTCTGGTCTACAGCTTATTAGAGCGGTTTTCATCAGCATACACGTCTGTCAAACGTAACGAATAGATACTTTAGCTCCACATTTTATTGGATACAAATATACCCGCAATAAAACTTGTCAAAATATCAAAAAACACTAATCATATGTTTTGTGCTTCTGTAAGCAGAAAGAAAGAAAAATTTCAAAGATAAACAAAATGGTTTCCCCTGAGTAGTAGGAATATGGGAAATATTTATGTTCTGCCCTATGCTTCTCTTTAGATTCAAAATGTCCTAAATAAATAGTTATTCACTCTTCAGAAGAAAAACTTTTACTTTAAATAAACCCAAATACAAGATCATTAAAGCAAATAATTTTATTATTTAAAGTATAATTTTACTTCTGGTAACTAATTTAGAAATAATTACTTTCTATATTAATAGTAACTGCAAGTTTGCTTCATGAATCTTCCTCATGCTGTCCTAAGTTGTCTTTTGGCTCTGCCTCTATTATCCCTCCCCCCCCCCCCCCCTCCGCATTGTGGGCACCCACAAGTGGCAGTGTCCCCTAGTGGCTGGATAAATTGTTGCACTTTTTGTTTTGTCTTCTCTTGGGCCAGAAGATATATTTAACCTGGGAACAATTGTGACTTTTATTTGCAAGCACAGTGTGATAGTGTAATCAGTTTTTGTGTTTAATTATAGAGGCATTTCATCTAGCTTCTGCCCCCAATAGAAATAAAATAAAAATTTTCACTCCAAATAGTAATATCTAAAATGCACTTTTATTCTGTTTTGTTCTTCAGCTTTATTGAAGAATAATCATTGTACCAAAAACTATACATAATTAATGCATATTTTTTGCTATAATCCAAGTAATACACATACTCACCATCTCCAAAAGGTTACTTTGGTTCCTGTGTGGGTTTGTGTAGGTGCTGTGGTAAGAAACAACATGAAAACTAACCTCTTAATGAATTCAATAAAGTTGCAATGCACAGAATCAATATATGAAAACCAGGTGCATTTCTATACACCAGCAATGCACTATCTGAAAAAGAAAGCAATCTCACAATAGGATCAAAAAGAATAATCTATTTAGAAATAAACCTAATCAAAAAGAAGAATGACATGCATTGGAAACTTTAAAACATTCATGAAATTAATTAGAGCAGACACAAGCAAATGTGAATGTATTCTGTGTTCACGAATTAAAAGAATTAATATTGTTAAAATCTTCATCTTATCTAAAGTGCACTATAAACAGTACAATTCCTAACAAAATTCCTGAGACACTGTTTGCAGAAATGTATTTTTTAAATTAACATTTATCAACCTCATACTAATGACAAAAGACCCCAAATAGGCAGAACAACCTTGAGTGAAAAGACAAAGATGGAAGATTTACACTTCCTCGTTTCCAAATATATTGCAAAGGTACAATATTATAATCAAGAGTATGGCACTGGGATAAAAATAAACATGGAGACCAAGTGAACTGAATAGATAACTAATAAACCCACACAACTGGTCTTTGACAAAGGTGTCAAGAATACAAAATGGAGAAAGGGTACTCTCCTACATGTTGGGAAAACTGGAGGTCAACCTCCAAAATAATGAAATTAGATCTTTATTTCAACACACACACACACACAAAAAAAAAAATTGCTCAAATAGATTTTAAAATTGAGCACAGGATCTGAAACCATAAAAGTTCTAAAAGGAAAGATAGCAAAAAAACTTCTTGACATTGGTCTTTGCGATGATTTCTTGAATATTACACCAAAAAACACAGGCTGTCACAAAAGGTTAGATTTCCTTTTTTATGGCCAACTAATATTTCATTGTGCAAATGTTCCACAGCTTTTTCACCCATGCCTCTACTGGTGAGCAAAAAAATAGCTTAGCTATTATAAATAATAGTATGCAGTGATCATAGGGGTGCATATATTCTTTTGCATTAGTGCTTCGTGTTTCTTTGGATATTCCCAGAAGTGGAATTATGGGTCAGAAGGCAGTTCCATTTTTAATTTTTTGAGGAAACTCCATACTGTTCTCCGCAGTGGCTGCACCAGTCTGCATTCCCACCAGCAGTGCACAAGAGTTCTCTTTCCTCCACATACTTGACAACACTTGTTAATTGATGACTAGCCATTTTGAAAGGCGTGAGGTGA